AATAAGTTGGATTCCATCAAAATTTAAAAACTGTTATGTGTCAAAGGACACTATCAGAGTAAAATAGCAAGCCTCAGATTGGGAGAAAATATTTGCAGATCATATATCTAATAAGTCCTACATCTCAACAACAAAAAACAATCTGACTTAAAAATGTGAAAAAGACTTAAATAGATATTTTTCCAAAGAAAATATACAAATGGGCAATAAGCCATAAAAAGATGTTCAACCTCATTAATTATTAGGTGTGAGATAACAGAAATATGTATATGGGTCTCTGCCCCCAGTTCCTGGTACAGAGATCCTAAAACTCTTGTAATTTCCTTAGTGATAAAAACACTAGGACCATCTCTTGTTCTCATATTTGGTCTTTGACCCCATCTCTCACACAGGGTTCCTAAAACTCTTGTAAGTTCCTAAGTGAGAAGAGCATTAGGAGCACTTTTTGTTGCACTTAGGCAACTCTGGGTGAGGTCTTGGCTGGGAGCTAGTCACCAGAATGACCAGGCCATGATTAGAAGCTTGTAATTTTCAGCCCAAGCCCCCCATCCTCCAGAGAGGGGAGAGGGGCTAGAAATTAAGTTAATGATTAATGATGCCTACCTGATAAAGCCTCCATACCTGTCCCAAATGTACATTCGAAGAACTTTCAGGTGTGTGAACACATCCACCTATCAGGAGGGTCCCCAACTCCATGGGGACAGAAGCACCTGCACCCTCCTGACCTTACCCTATATATTAGTATGTCTTCCTTTGGGTGTTCATCTGTATCCTTCATCATATCCTATCTAATAAAGAGGGAATATTCAAATTGACCATCACGCCATCACAAATATGGCAGCGCCCACAGCGGAGGCAGGGTTTCTGCAACACAAGATGGCTGCACCAACAGTGGAGGCCCAGTTCCTATAACGAGCCTTAATGAGCAATCAGCAGGGACCTGAAGCTGCGTGGTGCTGGGCCGGGGTAGGGGACCTGAAGCTGCGCCCCCCACCTGGTGGAGCTTGACAGAGGACCTCAGGCAGCATCCCCTGCCCCAACGCCAGGCCAGGGGAACTCAGGCCACGCCCCCCGCCCAGCGGGGCTTGATGGGGGACTGCAGGCTGTGTCACCCGCCCTGGTGCTGGGCCGAGGGACCTCAGGTCACGCCCCCTCCCACCCTGGCGCTGGGCTGGGGGACCTGAGGGTGCGCCAGGGGGCCTAAGGCTGCACACCCCACCCGGCGGGGTTTGACGGGGGACCTGAGGCTGCGCCACCCACCATGTGGGGCTTGACGGGGGACCTGAGGCCGCACCCCCCACCTGGCGCTGGGCCAGGGGACCTGAGGCTGTGCTCCCTGCCTGCAGGGCTTGACAAGGGTGGGGCTGGCCAGGTCTGGATCTCACGTGATTTTGAGGTGCCGCAGGTGGGCAGGGACTTGACTCTGGGTCCCGCAACGCACCCCAGACGCTGACAGGAGGAAGATTTTCATTTATGTTTTACTAATTTTCTTTCATCTCTGACACTTCTATTATAGAGAAAGGGCAAACAGCAATATTAAAATATTTCCTCTAATTAATTCCCTTTTAATGTGCATGAATTTCATGCACTGGGCCACTAGTACTTTATAAACTGGTAAATGTAAGTACTGTAACTGTTTTCCTGAATTCTATGAGCCACTCTAGCAAATTAATTGAACCTGAGGAGAGGGTCATTGGAAACTGATTTATAATCAATTGATCAGAAGCACAGGTGACAACCTGGATTTGGGACTGGCATCTGAAGAGAGATGGGGGCAGTCTTGTAAGACTGAGCACTTAACCTGTGGGATCTGACACTAGATAGTACCAGAACTGAATTATAGGACAGCCATTGGTGTTGCAGAGAAATGCTTGTTGTGGGGAAAACAACCCATATTTGGTCACCAGAATTGTCAGAAGTGAAGTGTTCTGTGTGAAAGTAAAGGAGACACAGGAGAGGGGAATGGTAGATTTTTTCCAATACAGTAGGGAAATTCAAATCAAAGCCAAATGAAATACCACTTCACACCCATTTAGGGTGGCTATTATTAAAAATAAAAAGCCCACAGAAAATAACAAATGATGGTGAGAATGAAATGAGTGAGAACCCTTGGCATCACTGATAGGAATGAAAAATGGTGCTGTAACTATCATAAATGGTATGGTGGTTCCTCAAAAAATTAAATATAGAATTGCCATGTGATATAGCAATTCCACTTCTTGGTATATACCCAAAAGAACTGAAAGCAGGGACTCAAATCAATATTTTTACAGCCACATTCATAGCAGCATTATTCACAATAGCCAAAAGGTAGAAGCAACCCAAGTGTCCCTCAATGGGTGAATAAGCAAAATGTGGTATATACATACAATGGTATATTTATTATTCAGCCTTAAAAAGGAAGACAATTCTGACACATGCTACAACATGGATGAACCTTGAAGAAATTATGCTAAAGTGAAATAAACTAGTTACAAGAGGAAAAATAGTGTTATGATTCCACTTATATGAGGTATCTAGAGTAATTAAGTTCATAACAGACAGAAAATAGAATGGTGATTACCAGGGGATGGGTAGAGGGAAAAATGGGGAATTAGTATTTAATATGTATGGAATTTCAGTTTGGAAAAATGAAAATTTCTGGAGATGGATAGTGATGATGGTTGCACAATGTAAATATAATTAATTGCTATATTATACACTTAAAAGTGTTAAAATGGTCAATTTTATTTTATGTATATTTTACCAGAATAAAAAAAAAATACAGTACTAAAGCTATCTCCCAGGAATTGTTAGAGTCAAATAAGCTCTATATAGAAAAGCTTTGTAATCTATTTGGCCCTTCACAAATATTAGCTTTTTAATCATTGTCATCCTGTTTACCCCAACCTGATACCATTATCCTCATTCACTATCCAGCCCAGCAGCACACTTTTGGAGTTTAACTGCTGTCCAGTGATATCCACCTTCATTTTGCTGAGCCCTAGATTCCACACGCCAAAGCAATAGCCTCTCAGAGTTCTGGTTCTGAAACAGAACATGCCACCAAACAAACAAAGGTTTTAGACAGGCAAGCCTGGTGGGTTCTAAGGATAAAAATCAGACTTCCTTTCCTTACTCAATTTTCCCCAATGCTTGGCTTGGTAGCAGTCCTCATCAGCAACAAGAGGTCATCGTGCCATTGCCAAGAACACGAGAAATCTTCCTCCAATTAAGTTGACTACCTAAGTCCTTGCCCTGCTCCCAAGCAACATATCTCATAAGGCAGCCTTTGAGCTGGTGAAGAATCCCGAACCTTCTGGATAAGGAATACAGGAAATGTATTCACTGAGTATGAGTTGAGAAGAAAAGTAGTTAGGTAAGAAATAAAAAATGAAAATGCTAAAATAGAAAACCAGAATGACCAATTTTGATGGATTAGACAACTCTCTGTAGAGTAGCTTCAGAGCTGAACCCTTAAATATTACCAGAAAGTACAGTACTAGTGCGATAACACAATAGTATCAAACTTAGGAATGTTATTTCTTTCTGGACAGCAAGCCAATTGTTTCATCCAGATACTGACCAGATCTCTGTAAACATTCAGGTGTTCTCTGGGGGCCCCAAGTTTCCTTAGGCGCTGCTCATTGAGTATTTCTCCTAACATTGGTAATGCTACAGTGCCTTCTGGGATCTTTTTCATGCAATAATGCCTGTCCAGGAGTTGCTGCCTTTCCAGGTATTCCCTGGAGGATCAATGAGGGATTTCATTCCATTGATTCTTTGAGGAGTTTTAAATGTGGGTCAAGAATGAAGTAGTACTGACCCCAGTCTTAGAAGTCTGGCCTTCTATGGCCAGGAAAAAGGACCTAAGTCTCTGTGCCCTCACACTCTTGAATGTCTGCTTCCTTCAATTTTATGTTATGTAAGATTCTTAGCAACATCAACACAATTGGATACAAACTCAGAACTTTTCCACAAAACTTTCTGCCAATGATCCACAAATCTTGACTGTGGTTTCCCAAATTCTTTGATTCTCCACTATGTGCCTTTTCTCTTCTGCTTAAAGGTCCCAAATAACACCTATCCCATATATTTAGCCCCATTTGTGTAGAAATACACCTTTCCTAGTCCCCCCCCCCCCACCTCTTCATTGTGCACCTACATCGTTGTGTTAACCAAGGCTCAGTCATAAAACCTACAACAGTATCATCCCATCTTGTCTTCATTTTGCTATAACTGGGAGGCAAAAGAAATATGTCACTCTGGAAGTGTCACAGTAAATGGAAAAAGACTTTCCTGGACAACAGACACTGAGGTCATTAGCACATGACCTATAAGTGAAACTCTATAAAAAAAGCAAAAGTTTAGGAAATATACCTTGCACCCACCTCCTCTTTTATAACAGTAGAGTAGGGATGGCTGATGAAATGATAGAACCAACAGTCCATTCTCCACAGAGTAACTGCAATGGAACAATCACTGGCTTAGTGCCTCAACCTATTCTTGGGTGGTTCATTATTGTGAGTCATTGATCCACCATCACCAGGTCACATACTCTTCTTTTCCCTCAAAATGGTAATATGTTAAACCATCCACATTTTCTCAGTAATAGTGGGAGGCAGTAAGCATTCGGTCTCTGGAGTCAAAGCAACCCTAGTTCAAATCATGCCTTAGCTGCTTGTTGCGTACCACCAGTCAATGATGTTTCCTGTTCTAATGCTTTCAGCCACTCCGCCCCAACACCACCATCAAGCACACAGAGCCCAAGGGCTAGACAAGAGTAAAGAGGGGTCTGTTCTCCCTTTACCTCCCCAGCTATGTGTTAATGCTCTGACGTTGAATGCCCCTCATTCTTTCATTCTTCTAGGCTGCCTCCACTCTCCCTTCCTCCATACACTCACAGCTTTTACAAGACAATCTTTTGCACGCCCTGGGGCGGGGCCAAGCACTTCCCTCCCCTAAGAGGGAGTAATTAAAACCAAAGTGCCACCCTTGTTAGGAAATGACTTCCCTGTTACCTTGGTAACGCCGCTGCTGCAATCATTATTGTGGTCAACAATTACTTGAATTAGCCAAAAAAAAAAAAAAAAAAAGAAGATTCTATTCTCCCGGAAACGCCAAGAATCCGGCTTAGAAAGGAGTTATTCTCGGGCTGCAGCCCAGACCAAGAGTTTACGCTACAGAACACGTAAGACACGCCTCCCGTGACGCAATGACGCCAGGGAAGGTGCCTTGCGTCAGCCCTGCTCGGGCGTTTCCGGTTCACGCGCTGTACGGAAGCGTGTTGGTCGTTAGGCTCACGCGCAGTACGGAAGTGTGCCCGGGCAACCGGAAGCCACGGGAAGAGAGCTATGGCGGGTATGAATGTGAGAGATCCAGCGATAGACCGTTCTCTACGTTCGGTGTTCGGTAAGAGGAATTAGGTATTGCCAAGCATCAGGGAGGGATAGAAAGAGGCAGGGAGCAGCGAGGAACGCCCCCTGCACCTCTTGAATCGCTTTGGGAACCGGTAATAGGTCAGGGATACAGCTCTACCTGCCTTTCTTGTGGGGCGTCCAAGCTGATGGACTCGAGGGTAAAATGATGTTCCCCTTCTCCCGCGGTTTAGCAGCCTTTCCACGATGTGGTTAAGGAAGTTAAACTAGCGTTCAGCTTCTATGCGTTTCTCCTTTCATTGATTTTCTCGCTTCAGTTGTTTTCTAGAAGCGAGGGCGCTTAGCAACGGTCCCATACTACTTTTAATCTCCTATTTTAGAACATATTGTGCCGAGGTTATACTTGAGTCCACTTCCACCCTCTTATAAGGACTTCCATTCTGTGCTTAAAGCCCCTTACATTTTAGTTCGTTGATGGTGGTAGGGGCCACCTGGCGTCTTAAGGTGGATAGTAAATGAATGAATGTATAAGCGATTAAGACCTCATCAAAGAAATTTTAAGGAGCGTCGAATCTATTCTAAGTAATCTTCCGAAATAATTTGTTTTTATGTATGTGTGCTGATTTTAAAGCACTGTTTGGAAGGGCCATGGCAAAGCAGTACAGAATAATTTTAAACATCTTCCACTACATCCATGGCCTTTCTCCTTTGTGGTGTGTGTGTGAATATGGACATATGAGCCAGTTTTAAAAATTACAGTATAGATTATTTTAGTAGTTATTGATAAGACTTGCAGACCTTCAGGTAAATACCAATGCCTAAGTATTTTCACCAAAGTTAAAGAAAATCTAACTCTTGTCTAATCAGTCTGTGAACTGACATTTAGGCATGTCTACACCTTTTGTATTTATTCTCAGTGGTTTATTTCTCTTGCAATTAACGTCAGCAAAAATTGAAATCCTGTCTAAGGGAGTACAATGGAACTGGGATTGGAGGAGCACTGTATTTTGAGCCAGTTGTTATATTTTCCACGATATGAGAAAATACTGTTTATTTTATTACTAAAGATCTAGGTTACAAACTCAGAATTTTAATGTTATCTATTTTCTTCCTTAGTGGGAAACATTCCATATGAAGCTACTGAAGAGCAGTTAAAGGACATCTTTTCTGAGGTTGGACCCGTTGTTAGTTTCAGGTATGATTCTCTTTTGCTATTTGTAGGAGTTTCTTAAAAATTACCACAAATTTGGCCCTTAGAAATAATGTCAAGGTTTACTGATGATTTTGTACATGCATTCTTCTGGGGTTTTTTTGTTTGTTACAGCTTTATTGAGATGTAGTTCACAGACCATACAATTCACATTCATTTTTACTAAAAGATACATTTTGGGGAATACAGGCAGCATTCAGAGTTCATGCCATTTTCAAGTATGCCCAGGGTTTACTATCTCCTGGGCCCCTTTTATGTTTCCTATGCACATATGTTCAGCTTTAGCATCAGCCCGGTATGTGTAACTGGTTCGAGTTTTCTCCAGAATCTGCTGCACATACACACAGTCAAGCAAAAAAAAAAAAAATGTGCCTTTTCTAACAATGACTATAACCTCAGGCTGGTGGAGTTGTGAGCATTCCCTACCCAACCACCCCTGTGATTGTCACTTCTTCTGACAACACTGCTGGGTGTGGACTTTTTCTACCACACCAAATTGAGCAAGCCCCTTCACTATTGATCCTTTTGACCTGTCCTATCTTGTCAACTGAGCTGAGAGAGGGATTCATTTTTTAAAATGTTTATGAATGTCAATTGTAATTTTAAAATAAAATTTTCATTGTTTAAAACATAGTTCAGTGAGGCAGTCAGACTGATAGTTATTTGGCTTACAGTTTACCAAATTGGAACATGGCAATGTTTGCAGGATCCCTGTGTGTATGTAACAGTTATGCCTGATACTTTGTTCTGCTCTTCAGGTTGGTATATGATAGGGAGACAGGAAAGCCAAAGGGTTATGGCTTCTGTGAATACCAAGACCAAGAGACAGCACTTAGTGCCATGAGAAACCTGAATGGGCGTGAATTCAGTGGAAGAGCACTTCGAGTGGATAATGCTGCCAGTGAAAAGAACAAAGAAGAACTGAAGAGTGAGTATGAACCCAAGTTAGTAGAGATGTAACAATGAAGATTTTCCATTTATGGTATGTTTTAGCATCTGCTTAAATGGTTATCCACACAGCTTCTTTACTTGACCCACCTGAGGTACCTGCACTGGGGAAGTGTATATCTTTGAGAAACAAGGTAAAGTTGACTTTAGAAGTCCTTCAGTTGCTAAGGAGTTAATTCCATTTGAAGATGAATTCAGGCCACCAAGTGATTAGTAGTACTAAATATGTCCTTGGTGTTTTCCACTCCAGTAACTATGTTGCCAGATCTGTAGCTGGTGGAGACGCTAAGGCATTCTTAGGGCTTTTTTATGAGGTGGTAGATCCAGAAATTCCATTTTGAAATTAGCATCTTTTTCTGTTTAAACCTTTTGCTTTGGAAATTACTTGTCAAAGGAAATTGATATGCTTAATCCCTAATTTAGGTTAACATTGTTCACCTATATGATCCTAGCCCCAGCTTTACTCTAAGAGCAGAAAATACACTGTCACTTTCTTCCACAGAAATGAGAAATTAGCAAATCACATATTTCTCAGCTCCAGAGAATTTAAAGTTATCATCGGATCCTTATAAGTGCTGGAAAGTAGATATTTGAAATGATTTAGCTCTTTATTTTGCCTCTTTAACTTTTTTGTACTTTCTTCCCGATCAGGCCTTGGCACTGGTGCCCCTGTCATTGAGTCACCTTATGGAGAGACCATCAGCCCTGAGGATGCTCCTGAGTCCATTAGCAAAGCAGTTGCCAGTCTTCCACCGGAGCAGATGTTTGAGCTGATGAAACAGATGAAGGTGGGAGGAGGCATTAAATTATGAATAAATCCAATCACATCAAATTTTCAAGAGTTATTGATGAAGTAAATGGAAGTGATTCCCTGAGCTCAAGTAGAAGGTGTGCCTGTTGACCACCATTTCTTGCACCTTTACTATTCCATATGTGCACAGTATATTTTACATTTTGTGCAAAGAGCTTCCCATTTTTGTACACAAACCACATCAACATAATCTGGCTGGGTTTTTGTGGCCCATAGATATCAGATGTAGATATTAAAATGTGAATTTTTTCCTAAATGATTGTATTATGGTATTTGAAATGCCTCTTCCTTCTCTTGCCTGCTGTGACAGAATTTTGTGTGCTATGCAAAAACCATTGCGTTTCTCTGATGGGAATAATTCTAAGTCACTATTGATTTCTAAGCAATAAATATTGAACTTGATGATGATTCTGTGTATCTTTTCAGCTTTGTGTCCAGAATAGTCCCCAGGAAGCACGGAACATGTTGCTCCAAAACCCTCAACTGGCTTATGCTTTGCTACAAGCACAGGTAGTGATGAGAATTGTGGATCCAGAGATCGCCCTGGTGAGTGCTACTGGTTCTTTTGTGGAAATACTGAGGTAAACCTTGAGTAGGGGTAGGAACTACTTGATTGTTTTGTTAAACAGACAGTTCATAGATTTGTCTTTTTACTTTTTAGAAAATTCTGCATCGCCAGACAAATATCCCAACACTGATGGCAGGCAATCCTCAGCCAGTCCACAGTGCTGGGCCTCCCTCAGGAGCCGGTGTGCCAATGAACCAGCAGAATCCTCAGGCCCCTGGGGCCCAGCCTATGGTATGGCTTTACCCTTTAACATTTCTTTTATCTGTCTTAGAATGTCATTTTCTTTTTAGGAGGATATATTGAAAGAAGAATGGACCAGAGCCAGAGATGGTAATTTCAATTTCCAGGCATAAAGGCAGTTTCCAGGTTGCAGACTCTGTGGCATCTGAATGAATATAGATTTGATGCCAAGTTCGTAAACAAAGAAGTCCTTCCTGTACGCCCCTTTTATAAGCGAATTTTGTGTGTCTATGCATGTATAGCACTGTGGTTGGTACTTTATTATTTTATATACACTGTATAATTTAATACTTTATTTAATACAGCGATTATATGAGGTGGCACTCTTATTATCTCCATTCTTACCAATGAAAAAAGTAAAAACCTAGCTTTCTAAGTGTTACACAAAACCCTGAAGCCATAGAAAATCAGTACATTTGAAAACTGAAAAAAATTCTTTATGGAGGAAAAGAAATAAACACCAAAGGCAGATGACAAATTGGGAAAAAGTATTTGCCACACATGTGAACAACAGGGTTATTATTTAAGAGCCTTTAATCATCTTGAAGCATGTTTGTTGCCACAGTATAACAGTGAACAATTAGAAACATTCTAAATGTACATCAGCAAAAGAATGAAGAAAATATGATACACTCTGCAACAGTTAAACTATATTTGTCACAATGAATGACTTTCAAAAACATAATTCTATATAGCAGTTAAGATGAACTAGGATACATGGTATCAACACAGATAGCTTAAAAACAATACCATACAGACGTGGAAATAAGTGAATGTGGAAGCATTCCCAAAATATGGGATACATGTATCTGCATATATCCCAAATATATGTTGAGTGAGTTACAAAGACTATGTTCAGTATATAATTTACAAAAAATTTCAGAACACCAGTAAGACTTCTGAAGTGACTGTCTAAGAAAGCGACACAGGGTGCAATTAAGGAGGACCATATGGGATACTTCAGTTGTGTATATAATTTATTTCCTAAGTTGTGTAGTTAATTTTATTAACCATATAATTTATATATCTGGAATTTTTCATGATACTCTAAGAGCAGAAAATACACTCTTGTCACTTTCTTCCACAGAAATAAGAAACTAGCAAATCACATATTTCTCAGCTCCAGAGAATTTAAAGTTATCATTAGATCCTTATAAGTGCTGGAAAGTAGATATTTCCAGCACTTATAAGGATCTAAAATTAGTAATAAAATTACCAATGACTCAGTAGAAAAGTTTGCAGTGGACATAAACAGTTCACGAAAGTGGAAATACAAATATGTATTAAACATATGGGAAAGTGTTCAACCTCAAAAAAAGATAAATGTAAACAGAAAGTACAAAAATCTAACATTTTTTACCTATCAGATTGGCAGAGGCAAACCACTTACGTAGATGATACAAAGGTTTAAGGCGGGAGTCAGCAAACATTTGTAAATGGGCCCGTAGTAAATATTTTTGGCTTTGCAGGCCATGGAATCTCTCGTAACTACTCAACTCTGCCATTGGAGTTTGAAATCAGCCACAGACAATACATAAACAAATGTGCGTGGTTGTGTTCCAATAAAACTTTGTGAAATGAGGTAGCAAGCCAGATTTGGCTCATGGGCCATAGTTTGCTAACCCCTACTGTAATTAAACATTTTTTCAGAAATACAATGAAATTAATTAAGACCCAGAGAAGTTAACTGGTCCAAAAATAGCGTAAGTGGCACATCCAGGATCTAAACCTGGTTCTGTGTGACCTCATAACCTGTTTTAATACAGTGTTCTGTTTGAGAGTTTTGTTTGTGTTCTCTGAGAGTATATGTGATTTTTAAAAATATAACTTAGTTTTTACTCTTTCTTTATTAAGCTCTTTCTATTCCAAGGGACTGCTCACTTCTTTGGGGAATATATAAATGAAAACAATCCCTTTCCCTCCAGGAGCTTTAATGTAGCTTTAAAAAATTAATATTCCCCCCAAACCAGAATTATATCTCAGGACAGGGATGAGAAAACATTGGTCAGATTTTTAAAATTTCATCTTAAAAATTCAGACTGCCAGCAGTTTCTTTATAAAAATGTCCTAGTCTCCTAGGCACCTTTTTTTTTTTTTTTTTTTTTTAGTCTTGTTGCTAGGCCCCAGTCGTGAAGTCAACCATAGGTGCTACATGTAGCCTCAACACACAAATAAGACTTGTCAGTCTTGGCTTTTAGAATACGGTCCATCTTAACTGTATTATAACCAGGCTTTTCATGTGTATTGCATATTCTGTTCAAAGTTTGCATAAGACATGCTATACAAAAAGGATTCTTGGTAGAATATTTGGGTTATCAGCTTGAAGAGTTCTTTAAGGTCATAGACTTTGTGTGTTGAGTCTCCACTGAGATGTCTACATACTCTGATTTTTCTCCTGGTCAGGGTGGCATGCATGTCAATGGTGCACCTCCTTTGATGCAAGCTTCTATGCAGGCTGGAGTTCCAGCACCAGGACAAATACCAACTGCTGTAACAGGACCTGGCCCTGGTGCCTTAGCTCCCGGTGGTATGTTGCATTTAGAGTCTTCACCATTTTGGTATTTTGCTAAAGTTTTTTTTATTGCAAATGGGATAGATCTTGATATAAAATTAATACACAACTAGGAAATATATCTCCTAGGTCAGTGGTCGGCAAACCGCGGCTCACGAGCCACATGCAGCTCTTTGGCCCCTTGAGTGTGGCTCTTCCACAAAGTACCATGTGCGGGCGCGCACAGACAGTGCCATTGAAACTTTGTGGCCCATGTGCAGAAGTCAGTTTTCGGCCTGGGCAAGTCTATTTTGAAGAAGTGGCGTTAGAAGAAGTGGGGGGTGTCAGTCGGGCCACGGGAGACGCGGCGCCAGGGAGGCGCGCACAATTCATGCACGAGTTGAGTGAGCCAGTCAGCAGTCTCATTGTGCAGTGGTTAGTGCTAGTCGCGTTTGCAAATCGCGCACAGGTGACAAAAGTAAAGTTTATTAAGTTAATTTTAGGGAACGTTGTGGAGTGAAAGAAGATGTAGTGTCGAGGATTGAGAAAGGTATGTTGAGATGGTTTGGACATATAGAGAGGATGAACGAAAGGAGATAGACGAAGCAAGTATACAAGACGAGTGTGGATGGGAGAGTTGGAAGGGGTTGACCTCAGCGAACGTACCTCAATCAGATTGAGGACGTTTTTAGCAAAGGCCAGCTTAGGAGTACCCTAATTAAGTTAATAACAATGTACCTACCTATATAGTTTAAGTTTAAAAAATTTGGCTCTCAAAAGAAATTTCAATTGTTATACTGTTGATATTTGGCTCTGTTGACTAATGAGTTTGCCAACCACTGTCCTAGGTGGAAGAAATAATTGATTTCTTATATACAAATCTTATGAGAGCAGGGAAAAAGACAGTAAAGAGGAAAGGTACAGTAAAACTTCCAAATTAATAAAAGGAAAATTGGAATGAATGGAAACTAGAGCAAGCCAGCAAATACAGAGAAAAATAAAATGATATTGTGAAGTAAGTAATAATAAAAGTAGAGTAAGGGGGAAGGAATAAAATCTTGTATAGTCATTATTCTACTAAATGTGAATGGATTAAATTCTTCCATTAGAAATCAGAGACTGTTAGATTAGGGTAAAAACATAATGGGGAAAAAAACACAGATTACGTGGACATATTTCTTCTTATTTAACAGACATAAAATCCCATTTCATTAAATATAATCAGACCAGGCCATGGCTGGGTAGCTCAATTGGTTAGAGTATCCTCCTGATACACCTAGGTTATGCGTTCCATCTCTGGTCATGGCACATACAAGAATCAAATAATGAATCAAATAAATAATGGAACAACAAATTGATGTTTCTCAGTCTGTCTCTTCCTCTCTTTCTAAAATTAATAAATAAATATAATCAGACCAAAGAACAAAAGAAAAAAAGAATTTTAAAAACTTAATTTGTTCATTGAAATTGTATATATAGGAATTAATACAGTATTGCTGTTACTTTTGTAGATTTTCATCATTCAGTAATTGTAACTAAAGGTATGCATGAAATCGAGATTCCCTATGTGAAACACCTGTATGAATACATAATGTATATCAATATTAAAAGTTTTTTTAAAGCAATCTTCTTATTAATTTATCTAATCTGGGTTAGATTGCGTCACTACTCATGGGGGATAATTTGAATCTAAATCATTCTGTTTTGTACAGAGACAAGTGGACAAAGGACAGAAGAAGGGATTTTTAAAGAAATTTCAGCAACCCACAATTTTCATTTATCCTATAACAGTGATGGCGAACCTATGACACGCGTGTCAGAGGTGACAAGCGAACTCATTTTTTTGGTTGATTTTTCTTTGTGACACAGCACCAGAGTTAAGTTAGGGTTTTTCAAAATGCTGACACGCCGAGCTCAAAAGGTTCGCCATCACTGTCCTATAATGTCACAGTTAAATTTAAATTATCTTTCAATGAAAAAAATAGATCCTGTATTTTATATATTTATGAATTGTAAGTGAATAATTTACCTTAAAATAGTTGTAATATGGTCCTACTACACCTGACAAGTCTGCAAGCCATGACATATGCAGCTCATTATGAGTTGAAAATCATCCAAATACTCTGAGCCAAGTGTGACGACCATGCACTCAGATGTCACAGCAATGTCAAATTGCTATAAAGGTTTCTAAGTGACTGCTCTCCATTTCTATACTTACATTGTCATGAACTGTTAACACAGAATGTGGATCGACATTGTCTGTGGACCACACTTTGAGTAGCATTGTGTTAGTGGACAAAAAATAAGTAAGGATGTAAAGAAATAAAATAATGGACTCAATAAGCTTGATATAATATATAGAAGGTGCCTTATATCTTTTGACTGGAGAATGCACACCCCCCACCCCCAAATGACCATGTCACAGTAAAGAAAAAAACTTGGCCATGTACTTAGCCATAAAATAAAAACAAATTTTAAAATACAGAGATTTTACAGGCTGTGTTCTCTGATTATAAGCCAATAAAACTAGAAATAAATAAATAAATGGTGACTGGAAAAAATTGTACTAAGAACATACTCTAGGTAATTCTTGAATTAAAGAAAAAAGTAGAAATTTATAAATTATCTAAAAGAACAAAAAGTAGTACACTTCATATAAAAAACTATGGGAAATAATAAAAGTGGTATGCAAGGAAATGAATATCCTTAAATGCCTATATTATTAAAGAATAAATGAATCTTAAGTCCTAGTTTTAAAGAATTAGAAAAATAATTTTTAAAAAAGATATCAAGAAGAGGGAATTAAGTTAAGAGTAAATGAATTTTCAAGTGATAATTTTTGGTGAGTGTATAGCATTTATACTTCTGAAGTTATTAAAACTTAAAACTACTAAGATTTTTGAGGTACCCTTACAAAGCTCTTTGACAGTTCATGAGAAGCGAGAATAACTTACTAGGAAAGTAGGCAAAGAAAATGAATAGGCACTTCAGAGAAGAGCAAATCCAAATGGCAATAAGAACAAATTCATTTATAGTCGGGACTGCAAGTTAAATAGCAGGATTTTGCTTTACTTAAACCCATCCAACCAGCAAGAGTTTCAAAGAGAGATGACACTCTTGATGGGGAATGTGGTATCATTAATTGCTGCCAGAAATGTGAAGTTTTTCCACCTTTTAAGAAAGTCACACATTAAAGATTCATATACACTTTGACCCACCAATTCCACTTCTGAGAAGCAAGTGATACAATAAAAGTGCCGTTATGTGATCATTTATAACATGAGAAATGATGCCCATAATTCTTTCTGCCACCACTTTCTTCAGATAGTTATCTTTGTATTGTTTTGGTGAGTGGTCTGAATAAATCATAAAATGTTATGGCTGTAAGACAGCTCTGAAATCAATTTGACCTGTGATTCTCAAACTTAGTTTGAAGTTGAATCACCAAAAGAGCTTATTAAAACACAAATCGCAGGTCCCCACCTCCAGACTCTAATTCAGCAAGTCCGAGGTAGGGCCCTGAATATTTGCAGTTCTGACAAGTCCCTGGTGATGCTGATGCTACTTGTCTGAGAACTATACTCTAAGAACCACACTGGTGTAGGCCAACTCCTTCACATTACATATGCGGAAGCCTGGATATACATTAATTTCATCAAATAACTTGTTCATAATCACACTTAGTAGCAGGGCTTGGCCTAGTACCAGTTCGGGTATTTTGTATCCATGGCTCTTTGATGCCTGGTATGTTAAATGGAATAAGAGAATGTGAAGTGTACTTGATATTTTAGGTAAGTACTAATGACTGCAAATAGTTGAGCTTGTCTATTTTCCCCACTTGCAGCATATGTTGTTCTTTTGATGAAAAGAGAAGAATTTCTATGTGGAAAGGGCCAGACAAGGACTTGTGGTAAATGATTATTTTTTGTATAGCAGTTATCATACTGTTATCATACTGGTTAGAATAGACCAATGGTTCTCAATTCTATCTTTGGCCCCTTTTCTTAATAGATACATTGCAGTGACTCTTTAATATCCTGAAATGAAATGCACAGAACATATAACCTACCTAACATGATTTCAAAAAAAAATAAAATCAGCATAATGTCCTAAGCATAACATAAAGGATAAGATAAAATATATTAATTTATAACAAAAATTTTTTAAAAATATATTTTATTGATTTTTTACAGAGAGGAAGGGAGAGGGATAGAGAGTTAGAAACATAGATGAGAGAGAAACATCAATCAGCTGCCTCCTGCACACCCCCCAATGGGGATGTGCCCGCAAACAAGGTACATGCCCTTGACCGAATCGAACCTGGGACCCTTCAGTCCTCAGGCTGTCGCTCTATCCACTGAGCCAAACCAGTTAGGGCAACAAAATATTTTTAATATACAATTATTCGGGCAAAACTATACTAGAAAATAAAAGGTAGTAGTCAGATGCTTGCACCTATATCATGAATGTTAAAGCTACAAATGTAGACAGATACAGGTATGTTTTTCTGACAAATACCACAAGTACTTTGATATCAGTGATGTGATTTTCTGAAATGGAGAAAACTCTTGGTAAAGTTCTGTTTGTTTTTAATCCTCACCCAAGAATATGTTTTTATTAACTTTAGGGAGCGAGAGAAAAACCATTGATGTGAGAGAGAAATATTGATGGGTTGCCTCCCATACGCACCCTGATCAGGGGATCGAACCTGCAACCCAGGTATGTGCCCTGACCGGGAAGCAAACCCAAGACCCTTCAGTGCATAGGACTATGCTCCAACCAACTGAGCCATCAGGCCAGGGCTCTTGGTAAAGTCCTTAACAAAACAAAATATAGTGCCCATAATTTACTCAGTAACTTCATTTCTGAATTTCTGGAAAATATAACACAAACATATAAATAGGACAAAGGACCTTTTTGTTTACAAATAAAACACTTGGGTTTTGAGTTCTGATGACCATAAACAGATATTCATTTGTGTGAATGTTCAAGACATTTGAAAGTTTTGCAAGACAGGGTAAATCTTTTGTTTGTTTTGTTAATTTTCACCTGATGATATTTTTTCCATTGATTTTTTTTTTTTTTTTTGACAGAGTTGGAGGAGAGGGAGGGTGAGAAAGAGGGGGAGAGAGAGAGAGAAAAACATGGATGTGAGAGAGACACAGTGATTGGTTGCCTCCTGCACACGCATGGCAGGGTAATTCTTTTTTTTTTAAATATTTTTTTATTGATTTCAGAGAGGAACGGAGAGGGAGAGAGAGATAATCATTAATTGGCTGCCTCCTGCATGCTTCTTCCTGGAGATTAATTCACTTTTCTGTCACTGAAGCTTAACAAATTCCCATCTTCTATATAACTACATTGTTTGATGGTAGTTATCTGCCTTTTTAGGTTTCTGTCTGTGAGGCAGAAAGAGGATATTTATTAACTCAGCCACTGTGCTAATTGTTTTTCCACTGTTCTAATTTGTGTTTTCTTTCTTGCCCTTTATGTTCTAGGAGGGATGCCGGCCCAGGTTGGAATGCCAGGAAGTGGACCAGTGCCCATGGAACGAGCACAAGGTAAATAGGTAGTAATATCTGATTAATGTGAACTGGACTTGGAAATGTTCTATATCTGCACTAAGATGGCAATGTGGCAGCCACTATCCACATATACTTCAACATATTTGAATGTTAAAGTAATTTCAAATTGAAATTACGTAAAATCTAAAATTCAGTTCCATATTACAACTGCTCAATGGCCACATGGGGGGATACCCTACTGGATATTACAGATACAGATAATTTCTATCATTGCAGAAAATTCAATTTGACACCTCTGGTCTGTACTTTCCATCTAGTGATTCAGAACCCAGCTCTACAAGAATTGATGATGAAGCAAAGGATCCTTTGTTGCCATTTAATTCATATCACCTTTTCCTGATAGCCTATAATGATTCTACTGACATGTTCGCTCTTCCTCTATGGATATCTGTTGATTGAGTAAGGAATGTTAATAATGAGCATGTAATGTGTGGCTGATTATGTAGAAGACTAAATTGAAACCCCAGAGAATACTGGGAGGGGACCAAAGATCTGTGAAATCTACTTGATGGCAGTAACACTGGATACCACAGCATTAAGCACTACGAAATCTCCACATTAATTCTCTATGTTACTAGAGTTTGGAGAAAAAGAAAATGCAGTGGTTCAGTTAAAAACAACATTAGGAGGAGAGATAGTGAGAAAACAGGGAGCTAACAATAAAATTGAGTGCATACTATAGGTCAGGCACTTTAATTTTTATAAACAACCTTGTGAGTTAGGGAGCAGCACTTCAGTTTTCACGTAAAGAGATGGAAGCTCAGAGTTTTGAATCCCTTACTGAAGGGGACATGGTAAGTAAATACCGATATCTGAGTCACATGGACTGGACTTGGGGCACTCATCTTCTCTTCCAGCTAGTAAGTGACAGAGCTAAGATTCTAAAGTCTCTGATCCTAGAATCCTCTTTTTGTCAATCCTTACCACCTCTATTAACTTCCAAAATATTTTCTTTGGACAAGCATAGAGAAGCTTAAGTTATTCTTAGCATATGGCCTGTAAGCAAAACCTATTTTTAAGCAAAATATTAAGAAATAGGATTATATACTTACTCCTTGTCTATATACGCTGGGGTTGGTTACTGAAGTGACAACTAATAAACTTGTCAGATGGTTGATAGTAGGACAAGCTCTTGGCTAAATACTTCATCTGAGTATTCCATGCTTTTGTGCAATTGTGCCCCACCCCCCTCAGCTAATCAGTAGATTATGTATAAACCTTAAGTATTTTTGCAGTAGTGTGAAGGAATTGGGGTTTCAGTCATACTTTTACCTCCGCCGAGCCATAATTCAAGCTATAGCTTTTTAATATATACTTCCACAAGACATCTTCCTTTCTGCTATAGTTATCTTCATTTTTCTGGTCAAAAGTTAACAGGGAAATGGCTCGAGTTTTGAAGGCATCTCAAGGCTGTCTTCATGAAGAGACAAAGTGAGATGAGTTTCCCTTCATGGTTTTCCTTCAGTATCCAGCAGAGGAAGCAAGAATCTTTCCATTTATACCTAGTTTGTCTTTTCCTGTTTCTTTGGCACATTTATAATGGCGAAAGGAGACCGTGAGATGTTTAAGAAGATACTTCCTCTTGCCTTCTGCCACCTTTGTTTAGTGTTAGTGCTTTTGTCATCTCATTAGTCTTTGTTTGCTGTTGTCATGGTGTTTGTTTATAATGAAAGACTTGCAGTGACAGAGTATTTCTTGAGGAATGATGCTTTCTTTCCTTGTCTAAAGATCATTTACTGTATTTCCCCATTTGGTACTTCGGTTATGGGCCTCTCCAGAATAAATCTTGCCTTCACATTCAGTATAAGTTATTTTATTTTTACATATGAAATATGTTTATACTCTTTACCTAAATAGAAATTCAAAACCATCCTTTTTATATTTTCTTTTCTAAGGAGATTTAGGGGGAATCATAGTAGCAGAGGTGAAAATGGAAAGTGGCTGGTTATTCCTGCCCCAGTAAAATCAGTGTCCCACAGGCTTCCGCTTTGGAAGCAGTCTGATGAAAGCAGAACCAAAGATGCTAACATAGTTTAGGAAGATTTTATAGCCTAGGCAAACTAATGAACTCTTGACTTTTTAACTCACACATATAAATCTCCAGTGTCTGTATGTGTATGTCTCTGCATGCATGTTCAAGCTATTTTAAGTGTCTGCTCTTTCTCCTTTTCAACTTACTGCTTACCTAGGAACCCTACAGCACTCGCCTGTGGGACCCGCCGGGCCTGCATCAATTGAGCGAGTTCAAGGTACCCATTGTATCTGTGGGTTTCCTTTGGCTTGTGTGTTCAGGGTGGGACATTGAGAGAGGACAAGGGCTGCTTGTCAGTCATCCTCACATTCAGAACCCAAAAGGGTAGTGTTTTGGGTTTTTGTTTTTAAATTTTTTCCTGTTGGAGCCACAAGCCTAAGATTGACCTCTTCACACAGGGCAGAGAACATGGATGATATGGGCATCTGTCCGAGGCTGTACTCCCTCCCTACTGGTGTCAGGAGGCTTGGATGGAATAGCAGTCTGTAAGGAGACAGCAGGTTCTTGCAGAGCCACGGCAGTGTTCACATATTCCGAGACCCTACCTCTTTTTTGTGACTCTGGTCCTTGAACTAGGGTTGATTATGAGGGAAACCATAAGTTTCTTCAGGTTGCAGTGCTAGTCCTTGGCAGGTTGCTCCCCAGTTTGCTCTTTATATAATTCCATCCATACCTCTGACATGGCACAGATTCTGCTTACACCCTGCTTCTGTTCTTGAACTGCAAGAGGAGTCTTCTGTGGTGAGGTTTCACCCACTCTAAGGTGTCTAAATTATGTTGTCAGTGGTGTATAGAGTCATTTCTTGTTTCCTTGTGTCCTTCACAGCAGTAACTCCCCATTTGTTTCCCTGTCAGTGCCGATGCAAGACCCCAGAGCAGCTATGCAGCGTGGGCCCTTGCCTGCCAACGTCCCAACTCCTCGAGGTCTGTTAGGAGATGCTCCAAATGACCCACGTGGGGGCACTTTACTTTCTGTAACTGGAGAGGTAGAGCCTAGGTAAGCAATGACACGGAAGGAAAAGCTTAGAGGAATCAGAATTTTCCCTTGCTTTGAGAACAAAGTCTTTCCATACCAGTTATGCCTCTTGGCTGCTATTCAAGACTAAGCACTTCTCCTTGGACAGAACTGTGTACTTGAGTATGTCATTTTGAACTAACCATGACAGCTTGCATCTTCAGAAGTTACAAATTCTAGCATACATACCCAGGCCGGAAAAACTTATATTGCTTATTATTAGTAGTAATATTAATAATGGCAGTAATAATCATACTAAAACAATTTATATTAATGAGAATTATGCCTCTGACTCTACTTTGAGTACTGAATTTGGATCATCTCATTAAATCCACATGAACCTGTGAGGTTGATATAATATCAGTCCCATTTTACAGATGAAGAAGCCAAGGCATAGAGAAGTTAAGTAAATGGGCCCAAGATCACACAGCTAATAAGTGATGGAGCCTAGATTTGAACCCATATGTTAACAGTGTTCTTAAGCACTATACTGCATACTCATTATACATAATGGATATCCACTTTAAGTCCTCTTTAATTATGAGTACCCTGACCAAATATGAAATTCTAGAATATGTTGATATATATCTCTATAGCTTTTTTTTCAATCTGTTTGGTGTTATTCTCTTAGCATTCATAGACTGGTGTTTACATAAGTTCTTTGTCTGATTTTTATTTACTGATCTCTGGTTGATACTTTTGTCTTATTTTTAGGTTCTGTTTTAAAATAAAATAATTTTTTCCATCTGTAGAGGTTACCTGGGACCACCTCATCAGGGTCCACCCATGCACCATGTCCCTGGCCATGACAGTCGTGGCCCGCCCCCACATGAGATGAGGGGAGGGCCATTAGCCGAGCCCAGACCTCTAATGGCAGAGCCAAGAGGACCCATGCTAGATCAGAGGGGTCCACCTTTGGATGGCAGAGGTAAGGGCAGACCACATCACAACATTGACTGGTAGTTGTGGGTTGATGATAAAGCCAGCTATCTTGGGCTCTAATCTGGGATAAAGAATGCTGGGGTAATAGGGTTAGCAGGCATTTTTAAGTTTTATCTGCAAATCTGAGAAATTGGGGAGGAGAAAGCAGTCTCCTGTAATTGGGGCGGGGGGGGGGGAATGTGGCTAGAGGAATTGATTTCTGTCTTTCTTAGGTTGTTGATTCTTCTTGCAGTAAAGGTGAATAGCTACACAGTGGTTTTCTTGGACCTTACTTTATAGGTGGAAGAGATCCCCGAGGCATGGACACACGAGGGATGGAGGCACGAGCCATGGAGGCAAGAGGATTAGATGCCAGAGGATTGGAGGCCCGTGCGATGGAGGCACGTGCAATGGAGGCCCGTGCGATGGAGGCCCGTGCAATGGAGGCCCGTGCAATGGAAGTCAGAGGGATGGAGGTCAGAAGCATGGATCCAAGGGGCCCAGTCCCTGGCCCTAGAGGCCCTATACCTAGTGGAATCCAGGGTCCCAATCCAATTAACATGGGGGCAGTTGGCCCCCAGGGATCCAGACAGGTATGTATGACACATTCACTTCTGGCTTCTATGTGAAATCTTGATCTATTCTGGAACTGATTATTGAGCCTGATTACTACTGCTTTATTTGATTTGGGCTATTTCACAGCTTGTTAGAAAGGGAAGATTAGAATCTCCCTTCCTGTAGTTTCTCTGTCCCTTAGGATAGTGATTTCTGATTAACAGGATTATAGTCCAAGAGAGCAACCTTGTCTCACAATTTCAGGAGCTTTTCCATTCAGAGCAGATAAAGAGTATATCTGGGACCTGGCCGGGTAACTCAGTTGATTAGAACATTGTCCCAATATGCCAAGGTTGAGGGTTTACTCTCCGGTCAGGGCACATACAAGAATCAACCAATGAATGCATAATAAGTGGAACAACAAATCCCCCTCTCTCTCCCTCTTTCTCTCCTCTCTCTCTCCCTCTCTCCCTTTCTAAAAATCTTTAAATTAAAAAATTATTTTTAAAAGATCATATCCATAGAATCTAGACATGGGTCATTTGAAAAACTCCTAAACGATTCTAATGCGCAACCCTTAAGAGCCACTGCACTAGAGTATATGAAGAGTTCTTAGTGGCCATTTAGATAATCTTCGGTTTGCAGAAACCTGTTTTAATTTTCTTTCATTGCATAGCCTAAGTGAACAGTGAGTATGAAAAGCAGTTTACTAATGCTCACCTTAAAACCTGTGGAACTGAATTTTTTACCTCTGCTTTCTTTTTTGTCTCCAGCTATGAGAGCATATGTTTGTCTTTGATTGTCTGTGTGTTGTCATCTCCTTCCTCTTCACCCCAGTTGGTTGTGTGATGGTGTTTTTCTTCCCTGAGTTTTTATATGCTAGAACCTTCATCTCACTCTAGCCCCTACCCCATTCTTTTTCCTATATGTGTCTGCCTCCTTTCTCTACGTAGTTCTGTCTCTCTTTTCCCTTTCATATGCTTCTGTGCCTTCCTCCCCTCCTCTGTGAGTGTGTGTATGAGAGAGAGAAACAGAGAGAGAGAGAGAATGTCAGAACTGAAATGGAACATGTCAGTCATCCAGTTCTCTCATTTTGTAGGTTTGGAAACTGAAACCCAAGAATTCAGGTGACTTACCTAAATTCACACAGCTAAAAAGTGGCAGAGCAAAGAATAGGATCCCCTATTTTTTCCACTGTACCACTCTGTCCTGTTACCTGCATGTTGTGTATGTGTATATGTGTGTCTACCCCCCTCTTTAACATGAAATATGAGAGTGTTGTTTCTGGTATGTGTAGAAGAAAACTGTAACCTGTCATTTCTCAAGTTGTATTTTTTAAAAATGTGTTCATGGACCTCGATGTTTATTGTGCCCTCTATGGTCAGTAGCCTCATAATAAAAATGGTTTTATGTGTTCATTCAGTCATCCAACAAATATTTATTGAGCACCTACTCTATACCAAAGAGAACTATAGGTAATAAGGATATAGTGTTGTGAAAAAAGAAGTCCCTGTTCTTATGGACTTCCATTCTAGTTGGGGAGACAGACAGCAAATAACTACATGATGTGTTTAGATAATTCTGTTGATAATTCTGTGGAGAAAGACACTGAAAATAGTGGTTGGAAGACTGTTTCTAGATGATGTCTTGCTTCTTTATCTCTGCTAGTGGTTGAAATCATTATTCTGTAATATTAGGCTTATATAGTTTCCATTAGTAGATTCTATAAAGCTAATTAGATCTGAGGTAGTGAAAATAAAAATTTTATGTTCTAACCTTTTTAAAAATGGTTTGAATCCATGTGTACACGTATAATTAAATATCTAAAATACATTCACTCATATATAATAGATATACAATAAGAACCTCACTTCTTCCCCTGTACCTGTCTCCCCTGTAACCCCCATCTTCTATAGATAATTGCTTTTATTAGATTTTTAATGTATCATTCTAGCAAATAATATATATTCTTATTTTTTCAAATATGAATATACATATATATTTTTTCCTTTTGCTGTTCTGTGCCTTGTTTTTTACTTAACAGTATATATCCTTAATTGAGCATTTTAAATCAGATTTTAAAATTACCTCCATAACACATAAATTGGAAAGTCATCAGTAAAAGGATTATTATTGCTAGAGGAATTATATAACTTCGCATCAAACAGGGACACATTTGAGAGTGAGAGTGCTGTCAGTATTTACTCTGACAGAAGCATAAACTGGGACTGTCTTGGGCAAACCTAGATGTGTAGTCACCCATATTATTGCCTGCCTGGAATAGGTGCTCCTGGAAACTTTACATGGCAATTAGTGAATGATTAGATCACATTACAATACTTCAAATTAGTATTGACTGAAGCTTCAGAAAGGTTGTTCTTGAAGATGTTTCAGGTCTATAACAGATTATGAAAGTTCAGACTCATCTGCGGATTCAGTATCAATAAAGACCAGGAATTGATAATATTTTAGCAAGCTGTATAAAGTCGTACTAATGCTTCATCTCTCTAGTGTCTAGTGAGTTAATGTATGTAAATGAATGTTGTAGATAATAGAACTATTCTACCAAATTTTTAACTAGTCAAATGAAAAGTAACTTTGTGTATTTTGTTTCCTTCCTTTCTTAAACAAAATACAAAAACTTATTTTAATCATTTTGACTACTCAAGGTCACCATTAAATGTATCCATTATTGAACATGCTGTAATAGAAAGCAGAGTTATTTCCTGTTTGGTTTCTAGTTTCCTTCACTCTCAGGCTGTCACCTGGCTCCTCATATTGCTGTTGTGGTATCTGCTCCTAACAGTCTATCCTCATTTCTTCTATGCTTTGCTGCTTCTAATCTGCTGGGGAAGCAAGTAACAAGTTTGCTAACAATTATGTTTAATAAGAGTACCTAAACTCTAGGTGAATACCTGAATGTAAACATAACTTCAGCATAGGGATTATTTAAGTTATTCTAGGTGCTCTGAGGCCTATTCCTGGGTTCTGATAGTTTTCAAAGATTGAACTCACCAAAGATCTTAAATATCAATAAGTATGTTATAATTGCACTTTGTTCTTTTAATTTGGGTCAGTCATATATATTTCTTGGTATGCATTTAGCATCTGCTGCATATTCTCTCTGGAAAGTTACAAAAAAACAAATGTTGGGCTAATAGCAGTCTTCTCCCCAGAGGCCTTTCCATCTCCTTTCTGCCTCTGCCATTAGGATCGTCTCTGCCTTACTTGTGGGATAGGGCCCTTTGGGATGAACAACCTATGTTTGATTGAACTAGAGGTAGGCGGTATCCCTGTGAATGTAGCTTCCCCAGTGGACCAGCATCCATTATCTCTAAAATCTGTCAGCTTTCATTTCTGTTTCCACTGAACACTACTTTCCAGGATGCTCTGTTTTCTCTGTGCTTATGTGGCTGAATTTTGCTTGATTTGATGGTATCCAGTTGTGCTATGTGGTATTTGTTGATGCTGGAGCTGTTGTAAGCAAATGTATCTAACATGTTAATTGATCTCTGCCTAAACCCTGCCTTCTGCGGTTGCTAACAGTAAGAAATGATCTTCAGAATCATTAATTTGCTTTTCTTACTCATATCCATACTCAGATCATATTTTTAAACATTGCTGTTACTGGATTCTGTCTGCCTATATGAGACATTGCAAAAATCTCTTTCCTCATCTCTCTTTGTGCACGTAGGTCCCAGTCATGCAGGGGGCAGGCATGCAAGGAGCCAATATGCAGGGTGGAGGCCAGCCTGGTGGCTTTAGTCCTGGCCAGAACCAAGTCACTCCACAGGACCATGAGAAGGTAAACAATCCTGCCCGATTGCCTCCGTGTGCACAAATTCTTTTGACTCCTGTTTTTAGTTAACATGTGCGAGTCCTGGATTTTCAGAGTCCCTTTGGAAGTGGTGTTTACTCTTAGAACTCTTTATGATCTTATTAACCTGAAAATTTATGAGTCAGTCCTAAAATCCTTAAATGGATGTATTTAAATGGAAGCTTATCTTACATTTCAGACTCATCTGCCAATAGCAGTTTTTGTGTGCAGGCCAGATAGACCTGGAAATCCAGATCTCTTTCTTCTCCCCCTTTCTACCTTCTCCCTGAAAAACAGTAGCAGATCCCCTACAACTATATTTCTGTTTCTATATTTGACCATTGTGGGGAACTCATGTCTGCTGGACGGGCTGAAACTTGAGAAAAGGAGAGACGTTCAAAATGATGAAAAACTGAAAACTTCCCAGGGCTCACAGATACCACTCTAGTCTGCAAGAACTTTGGGTTCCAAAGATGTCTGTTTTGAGTCTTCTAATCTTAGATATTGTTGTGCTTGTGCTTTTCATTATGCTTTTTCTCACCAGCTGCTATTGTTGTTTTTGTTTGTTTATTTGGTTTGGGTTGATTTGTGGAGGGCTGTTTTCTGTGTGTGAAATATCCTTTCTTTTTGGCCAAAGCGGGTGTGGTGTTTTGTGGGGTTTTTTAAACTGCCATCATTAAAACTCACTACCTTTCTTTTTGTCTTCACAGGCTGCTTTGATCATGCAGGTTCTTCAACTGACTGCAGACCAGATCGCCATGCTGCCTCCCGAACAGAGGCAGAGTATCCTGATCTTAAAGGAACAAATACAGAAGTCCACTGGAGCACCTTGAAAGGTGAGCAGACTTACCTGGCCTGAGTCCGGCAAAAATTTTGTGCATTTGGGATATATACTGCAACCCTAAGCAACAAGACTCTCCTGATATCAAGATTCTCTGCAGTCTGCTCCTCTTGGCAAGATTCTCTCCACCCTTCAGTAGGTCAGCTCCTATCAGGACAACAGAAGGCTACAGAGCATTTGTTCAGCTATTGAATTTGGTGTAATCTTTTTTAACCTTTCTTTCCTAATGGCAAAAGTAACATGCAATGAATTTAGCCAAATTAATCAAATAGAGAAACATAAAAAATTCAGGATAAAAAGCTCTGCTTCCTTAATTTCGATTTCCAGACATAACCTTTATTTCTTCTTAATTTCTTTATTAAGGTATTACATATGTGTCCTTATCCCCCCTTTGCCCCTCCCACTCATGCCCTCACCCCTGTTGTCTTTGTCCATTGGTTAGGCTTATATGTATGCATACAAGTCCTTTGGTTGATCTCTCCCCCTTAACCCCGCCCTCCCCTACCTTCCCTCTGAGGTCTGACGGTCTGATCGATGCTTCTCTGTCTCTGGATCTGTTTTTGTTCATCAGTTTATGTTGTTCAGTATATTCCGTAAATGAGTGAGATCATGTGATATTTATCTTTCTCTGACTGACTTATTTCACTTAGCATAATGCTCTCCAGTGTCATCCATGCTGTTGCAAATGGTAAGAATTCCTTCTTTTTTAAAAAAATATATTTTATTGATTTTTTACAGAGAGAAAGGGAGAGGGATAGAGAGTTAGAAACTTCAATGAGAGAGAAACATCGATCAGCTGCCTCCTGCACACTCCCTACTGGGGATGTGCCCACAACCAAGGTACCTGCCCTTGACCAAAGTCGAACCTGGGACCCTTGAGACCGCAGGCTGATGCTCTCTCCACTGAGCCAAACCGGTTAGGGCAAGAATTCCTTCTTTTTTTACCGCAGCGTAGTATTCCATTGTGTAGCTGTACCATGGTTTTTTAATCCACTCATCTGCTGATGGACACTTAGACTGTTTCCAAATCTTAGCTATGATAAATTGTGCTGCTATGAACATAGGGGTGCATATATCCTTTCTGATTGGTGTTTCTAGTTTTTTGGGATATATTCCTAGAAATGGGATCACTGGGTCAAATGGGAGTTCCATTTTTAGTTTTTTGAGGAAACTCCATACTGTTTTCCACAATGGCTGCATCAGTCTGCATTCCCACCAGCAGTGCATGAGGGTTCCTTTTTCTCCGCATCCTTGCCAGCAGTTGTCGTTTGTTGATTTGTTGATGATAACCATTCTGACAGGTGTGAGATGGTACCTCATTGTCGTTTTGATTCGCATCTCTCAGATAATTAGTGACTTTTGAGCAGACATAACCTTTAAATATAGTTTGGTATATATCCTTCCAGAATCAGTTGTGTTATTTTATTCCAAACTGTCCCATCAAAATGGGAAAAATACAAAGCATTTCAGTAAAATGTATAAATGTTTTAGTTTCCAGTATTTATTTTATATTAAATATTTAGAGATTGAACTATTACAGCACATAATTAAGGTAGTGAATTTCCACCATCATCATCAGTCCCTATACATTTGAGAGATGGCTGTACATTGCTGCCCTTATTTTTCTTTCTCATCAGTCAGGTAAAAGAGATCATAACCATGGGACCTAACTTGATTACATGTATTGGTGTTTCCTTTAAAAAATATTTCCCCAACAACTTCTATTTCATAACTAATTCTGTTTTCTAAAAACAGTTTAAAATTCACATTGTCCCAATACTAGCTGGGATATCACAGTTTGAATTTCTACTTTTTACCCCCTTCATATTATAATTTTCACCCATGTATCATCATATAATAGTGAACTCATTTACACTAATTAGCAGTCTTTGCTAAATACATTGTATTTTAATCCATACTTGTAATGTCATTAAAACATCTGGACTGGAAATAAACATCATATCTGTCATAGATGAATGGCTAGCTAGACTTTTGGTATGACCAGTACTTTCTTTTTTTTTAATTTTTATTTTACTTATTTTTTTTTTTGTTAATCCTCACCCAAGACTAGTTTTCCATTGATTATTACAGTAGAAGGGAGAGAGAGGAAAAAAAATCGATGTGTGAGAGACACATCAATTGATTGCCTCCTGCACACACCCCATTTGGGCCTGGGGGTCAAACCTTCAACTCAGGTACATGCCCTTAACTGGGAATGGAACCAGTGACCCTTTGGTTCAAGAGACGACACTCTAACCACTGAGTGCACACTGGCCAGGGTAGTACTTTAATTTTGTAGTTCACATACCCAATACATTCTATTTTTTTTTTCAGTAAAAGTATAGAGTACCTATTGTATTCAGAGGAACAGATAAAAAGAACTTCCTCTCTTTTACTTTTCCTAATTTATTTATGCTAGAGGAGGCATTTCCTATAATGTGAGGAAATTATTATTTTGGGGTAATGGAGGTAGATATGTTTCTGAAAATTCGTTCATTATACTTGTGAGATATCTCAATTCAAAGCCTTGCACATAAACCACAGGACAAGGTTTTTTTTTGTTTTACCTTTTATTTTTAAGTAATTGTAAATTCACAGGAAGTTAGAAAAATAGTACCTTATGTACCCTTCCAGCTTTTTGGTCTGCAGTACAAAACCAAGAAGTCAACATTGGCACATTACTGCTAACTAGACTATAGATAGACCTTACTCAATTTAACCATTTTTTTAAAAGCTATATTGATTTCTGTGCATGTAGTTCTATGCAATTTATTTTTTTGTCTTATTTCTTTATTTAAATTTATTTTAAATATATAAAATTTAAACATATACAAAAGTAGGGAGACTAGAATAATAAACTCCCAGGTACCAGCTTCAACATGATCAAGTCTTAGCCAATCAATCATGTTTCCTCTTTTCCTTTACTCATGCTCCCCTGATACCCCAATCCAGGTTATATATATTTTTTGAATAACAACTTTACTGAAATATAATTCACATACTATACAAATTACCTATTTAAAGCTTTTTATTCAATGTAGTCATAGAATTGCAATCATTACCACAATCAATTTTAAGACTTTTCATCACCCCAAAAAGAAACTCCATACTCTTTAGTTATCACCTCCTGTCCCCAGATTTATCTCTTCCCCCAGCTATAATCAACCACTAATCCATTTTCTGTTACTACAGATTTGCCTACTATGGACATTTCATTAAATGGAATCATACATTATGTTGTTTTTGTGACTGGCTCCTGTTATTTGTATAATGTTTCAAGGTTTATCCATCTTGTGGCATATATCAGTACTTTACTTATTTTTATTGTCAGATGATACTCCACTGTATGGATATGCTACATTTTAATTAGTCATTCATCAGTTGATGGACATTGAGTTCTACTTTTCGGCTATTATGAATAATGCTACTAAGAACATTTGTGTATAAGAACATTCATGCACAAGTGAACATATGTGTTCATTTCTCTTGGGTTTATACCTAGGAGAGGCATTTCTGAGTCATACAGGAACTCTACACTTAACCTTCTGAGAAAATTCCAGATGGGTTTCCATAGCGGTGTACCACTTTACATCCCACCAGCAGTGTGCATAGGATTCCAATTTCTCCACATCTCCCCCACACACCTGTTATTATTTTTTCAGTTTTTTTATTTCAAGAAGGATTTTAAATATAATAATGTTGCATGCAGTTAACCTTAATATCTCAAGAAAAATGATTTTAAATGATAATGTTACATGCAACAAACCAATTATTTAAGAAAATGATCTTACATATAACATTACATGCAATAAAAATTAATATTTTAAGAATAAAGATACTTTAAGTATAATAATATTACCAAAACTGTACTAACATAGTATGATATCACAAAAGTTGTAGGAAATATTATAAACCTGCAAATAACAGGATTACTTCTATTATATTCTAGAATATTTTTCCCCCCTCTGGCTCTATTTTTGTTCATCAGTTTATGTTGTTCATTATATTCCACAAATGAGTGAGATTGTATGATATTTATCTTTTTCTGACTGGCTTATTTTGCTTAGCATGATGCTTTTAGAGTCTATTTTGTTGGATATGAGTATTGCTACTCCAGCTTTTTTTGCTTTTGTTTTGAGGTGGGTCTCTTCTAGACAGTATATAGTTGGGTCATGTTTTTGTATCCATTCAGCTACCCTACACCTTTTGATTAGAGCATTTAATCCATTTACATTTAATGTTATTAATGAGAGGTACTTATTTATAGCCACTTTAATTCTGTATGGCTAGGTTTCTCTCCCTGTTTCTTCTTCTCAGCAATCCCTTACAGCAATTCCCTTAGCATTTCTTATAATGCTGGCTTGGTGGTGATGAACTCCTTTAGCCTTTTCTTATCTAGTAAGCTCTTTATTTGACCGTCTATTTTGAATGATAGCCTTGCTGGATATAGTAATCTTGATCTCAGATCCTTGCTTTCTATTACGTTGAGTACTTCATGCTATTCCCTTCTGGCCTGTAGAGTTTCTGATGAGAAATCAGGTGTCAGCCTTATGTAAACTCCTTTGTAGGTAACACTTTTCTTTTGCTGCCTTTAAGATTCTCTCTTTGTCTTTAAATTTTGGCATTTTAATTATGATGTGTCTGTGTGTGGGTCTGTTTGAGTTCTTCTTGTTTGGGGTTCTCTGTGCCTCCTGAACTGGTGTGACTTTTTCCTTCACCAGATTAGGTAAGTTTTCTACCATTATTTCTTCAAACACCTCTATTCCTTTCTCTCTTTCTGCCTCTTCCAGCACACCTACTATCCTAATATTGTTACGTTTCACATTGTCCCACAGCTCCCTTAAGCTGTCCTCCTGTTTTTTAATTGTTTTTCTTTTTGGTTCTCTAATTGAGTGATATTTTCAACTCTGTCTTCTAATTCACTGATTCGATCCTTAGCTTCCCCTAATCTGCTATGTATTCCTTCCAATGTGTTCTTTATTTGTGGTATGTCATTCTTTATCTCAGACTGTTCTTTTTTCATAGTTACTATATCTTTTTTCATACTGTTGAGCATTTTTAACATCATTACTCTGAACTCTGTTTCAAATAAATTTCTTATCTCTGCTTCATTTATCTCTTCTTCTGGAGAATTCTCTAGTTCTTTCATTTGGAGGTTGTTCTTTGTCTCCTCATTTTGGCTATCTGTTTGGGTTTGTGACTATGTTTTAGGTATAGATCCTGTACACCTCACAATCTCTAGTGCAGGGCAGTGTTAAAGGCTATTTCTGACTAATTGAATCAGGCAAAGATTCAAAGCCTCTGTCTGCAGACTAATAGGATTCCAATTAAATTGCCCCAGGCAATCATCCTCGGGTGTGGTGAGTTTTGTTTTTTTTCTCCAACAGGGTGGGGCAGTTGTTTTTGCCTGGAGGCTAATTGTTATTTTTTTTAATATATTTTATTGATTTTTTACAGAGAGGAAGGGAGCGGGACAGTTAGAAACATTGATGAGAGAGAAACATCGATCAGCTGCCTCCTGCACACACCCCACTGGGGATGTGCCCTGCAACCAAGGTACATACATGCCCTTGACCGGAATCGAACCTGGGGTCCGCAGGCCGAATCTCTATCCACTGAGCCAAACTGGTTAGGGCCTAATTGTTATTTTTAATTTCTTAAGTGGCCTCGGGGCAAGGTGTTTTCCAATAGGGTGTGTCGACTGTCTTCCCCCCAGGCAAAGCAGATGTCTATGTGGGAAAGATGTCCTTCACTGTGTGAGGGAATGACAACCCAGGAAACCTGGGGTGTCTGCCTTCTGAACTCTATCCCCTGAATCCCCAGTCCTGGGTTCTGCTCTCACAGCTCCAGTCCACTTCACCCTCCCTCTGCCAGAGCACAAGGTGGGTGGCTGCACAGGGAATTTTTGTGCATTGGCCCTTCAAGAGGGTTCCCAAACTTTGAGCTGCCACTCCCTGGCAGACAGCACCCCACTGCTTTTCACAGCTAGATGTTATGTAGGTACCCTCCTCAGATTGGTGTTCTCTGCTGGGGAGCCCAGCTTCGGGATTAGATCCCAGAGTTCTCAGTGGCACCCCGCACATAGCTGAGATATCTCTCTGGGACTTCAGTTGCTGTCTGTGGGCGCCCGGCCAGCCCTTTCACGCTTTTGCCCCTCCTACCAGTCTCTATGTGGTCTCCACCTTCAGTCCTTGGGTATCAGGGTTCTCTCCTGTGAGTTTTCTGTTGATTATTCAGGAAGCCTTTCCATATTTCAGTTGTAATTCCAGCTTGTTCCTAGAAGCATGTCAGTGCAGCATCCTCCTACTCTGCGGCCATTTTTAATCTTTCTCTGTGCAATTTACACAGGCAAGGTTTTAATGTTTATTTTCTGGTATCTGTGCATGCTGTAGCCAAAGTATTGGCTCTCCCTCCATTGTGTACCTCACTACCTGTGATCCATCCCTGCTATCACTGACACACTTATATACCATTGCCATTAGAACACTGTTTCTCAACCACAGGCAATTTTGCCACCTACAGGACATTTTGAAATGTCTGGAGACATTTTTGGTTGCCACAGCTTTAGAAGGACGATGCTACTGGCATTCACTGGTAGAAACCAGAGTTGCTTCTAAACATCCTGTAATGTGCAGGACATCTTCCCATAAGAAAAACTTATATGGCCCCTAATGTCAATAGTGCTGAGGTTAAGAAGCCCTGCTGTAAAGGATGATTACTTTTGAGAGGCAGGAGGCAGACACCTTAGGAATCTGCCCCGGATGTTTTACTCTTGTGCATAGTCTCTCTCCCCAACTTTTTAATTTTTTTCCTGCTGTTTGGAGAAGAGAACTTTGTCTCCAATTCTAATGGCTTTCTCCCAACTTTTCCTTACAGGTTTTCAAAAATACCTGGCAACAAATATGGAAAATAATTCCATAACTTTGTTGAAATGTTGCAAAAAGATGACTTCTACATCCTAATCCTTGAATGACTCAAATTGGTGCCAGGTGGAGGATTCCCATCACCTCTCTCAGAACAAAACTAGATCATTCTGTTGTCTTAGTTTATATATTTTCTGTGACTTGAAATAAACTTTGAACACAGTTTTAGTATAATGCAAATTGATACACATGAACTTTTTGCTTTAAAAAGCTGAATACCAAGGGTGAAACCTTAATGTATTTTCTACCCTTACTGCAATATTGTACTTCAATGTTATATTGCCATAGTTCTGTTTTTATTAAGTTAACCATTTATTCTTCTTTATTATATTTGAGAATTTCTCAGAAACAAATTTTTCAGAAACTTAGTTTCTTCTTAGTCTGCTTCCTGTGGTAATAGTAAGATTTGCCCTTTGAGAACTTGCTAGAACTTCTGAGTCTACAGGAAGAAAATAACATGTGCTTAGAGCTATAAAATGATAAAAAGGCCAACAAAACAGAGAGCCTAGCAGAGTAATGTATTTAGTTTATAAAAATCCAAATATCAAAATGCATTTTTTGTCAATAGTAGGTCTATTTACATGCATAGTTCAGAGGTAAGACAAAAATGTATTAGCCACTGGTTCTAGTGTGTCAACAACACGAAACTGGACATTTCCTTCTCCCAAAACCCTTCAGTCTAGGTAGTCAACCTTAAAAGTTACAAAATCCACTGATTTTTCACATGTTCAAGATAAAATAAAAACTGAACAGCAATCAAATGCATAAAATGTATTTCATCCTACCTAAGTCACTAACCTATAGGCCTACCCTGTAACCAGATTTATTCTGGGAAATTAAAACAGAAAACCTTAAAACTTTTACATTCCTATTTATTTTAAGAGGACCAAATGTAGAGTGCAAGCAGATAAATATGGTTGTCTCCCCTGCCTGCTTCCTTGCAGATAGATATGAACATAATTAGTGCCCTAGCTCTGACTTATGGCTCTTTCAGCCTACTGTTCCTTTTCTCATAGTAGCGTTAAGGAGAAACATGATTTCTCTCCATCAGGCCAACCTCAAGAGGTTATGAGGTGCCTTAATAATTAGTAAAGTTCCACTGGAACTACTCGAGCCTATTTATATTCTCAGAATCCTACCCCCAGATTAGGAGTATGGTCAAGTGAATTAAAGCCTGCAATAGGCTTAGAGAATGTAATAGCATATTGCTTATATATCAAGCAAAAGAATGCAAAGATAATCAACTTTATGAGACACTGAAATTGAGAGATTTTCTACTCTGATATATAAACATTTACTATAAGAGTTTGCTGAATAAGATACTTCGTATTACAACCTAAGAAGAAAAACTTGCTCAAAACAGCTTAGGAGATTTCTAGGTGTCATGCACAGCCCGAAATTGGGCTTGGATGTTGATTATATGTAGGACTTATTATTATCATTACCTTTTCTGCCTACTTACATGAATAGTCTAGACCAGCAGTCGCCACCGTTTCGGACCTCACGGACCACCAGTGGTCCGCAGGCCACCGGTTGGTGACCGCTGTTAGACCTTGGTATGTTGATTTTAGCAGCAGTCATATCTTGGAAGTGTCAATACAATTTAGACATTGAGATCAAGAGTAAAGCCTCTCATTAGGAACTCATAAGATATTCAAGGAATACTAAGGTTCCAAACCAAACTCATTGAAAACCAAATTATCATTTGGTCAGCAGCTGTCTAATAAGAACCATATTGTCAAGGTTCCATTGTGCATGTTTCTAAAGCCTTATTAAATTTAGACAGCTGAAATCCAGGAAGTTGGCAACAGTAAGGGTACCCCAATCTATTCCTACAGAAACATCTGTTAGTACTTTTTACTAATGTCCAATTAATACATGAAACATAATTCACTACCATAAGATCTGGACTTACCTTTATTTTGTTCAGACTAGTGACTGAAAAATACTCCAAGTTACAAGTTATACAGGTTTCTGGATAATTAGAAACTATCATTTATTCATTTTTGGTCACTTAAAAAAAGAGAAAGAAATAGGTGCTGTAATGCTAATTCAGTAGAAACAGTCTTTTAAATCTGATGAATTGACTTTGGGCACAATGAAATGTGAGGTTTTTCCCTCTTTTAAAGGCCCTTGTCTTTTACTGATTCACTGTGACTACTAACATCCCGGAGCCAGGAGGATAGAAGAAATAAAAAAGCATTTTGACAGGAGAAAAAAGGCATTTGGCTTATGTCATTATGGGAATGATTCCCTAATGAATAAGTATGTCGGAGCAAAAAGATGTTATCAAAATTCTAAATTATCTTTTATTAAAACTAGAGATTAATACACCCCCTTAATAAAAATGGTGATAAAGAGCCCTGTTGACTAAATTGTCCTAAGATCAAATTCAAGTTTTTGCAATTATTTCCAACAGAACAATGCAAGCTAATGACTATAGCTGACTCTCAGTTATACAATTTCAGTTATGATTAGCATACTTTCAATATTTTCTTTCCCAAATGGAGACCCCAGATAAAGTAATAAAAGATGCATTCATTAAGCAAAGAAGAAAATCCTTTTTTTTGACAAGCAAAAATAAGTATAGCATAAATGGCTGTTCACACTGGATAAGACCATGTTTAAAAATAACAGTAAGACTGTTCATATTGTATATAGAAATGGGGTTCTTGGTATTTTTATGTTTTATTTATGCTTATTGTGTTTTGTCATTAATTCTTAAATAAAATTTTATTTTAAAAAAGCACCCTACTTCGAAATCTTTTTTGATGATGGGAGGGAGGGGAGAATATGACCCAAGGTCCAGGCGAAAGTAACACTTGCAATCAACAAAATCACCTGGGGTTAAATTGTCATCCACCTCTGCTATCAGGCCTTGCTGTAGTCATGGCATTCTAAAATGATTTATGGCTATTTTCTGAAGAAAGGCTCCATGGACTTTGCAATTATTATGGCATTCTAAAATGATTTATGGCTATTTTCTGAAGAAAGGCTCCATGGACTTTGCAATTATTGTGACTTCTGAAATTCTTGGGTTCCTTTTAAAAAATTATCTTTATTGTTGAAAGTATTACAAAAGTTCCCTTCCCCCATTGACCTCTTCCATTCTGTTTCTGCCCCCTCCCCCACCCCACCCTCAGGCCTTCAGAGCACTATTGTCTGTGTCCAAGGACAATGCATATATGCATATAAGTTCTTTGGTTAATCTCTTACCGCCCCCTTCCCTCTGAGATTTGTCAGTCTTTTCGATGCTTCCATGCCTCTAGATCTATTTTGTTCATCAGTTTATTTTGTTCATTAGATTCCACATATAAGTGGGATCATGTGATACTTGTCTTTCTGTCTGGCTTATTTCACTTAGCATAATACTCTCCAGGTCCCTCCATGCTGGCTCAAAGGGTAAGATATTTTTTATAGCTGCACAGTATTCCATTGTATAAATGTACCACAGCTTCTTTATCCACTCATCTGCTGAGCACTTGGGCTGTTTCCAGATCTTAGCTATTGTAAATAGTGCTGCTGTGAGCATAGGGGTGCATACATTCTTTCTGATTGGTGATTCAGGATTCTTGGGATATGTTCCCAGAAGTGGGTGAAATGGCATTTCCATATTTCATTTTTTGAGGATGCTCCATACTGTTTCCAAAGTGGCTACACCAGTCTGCATTCCCACCAGTAGTGAACTAGGATTTCCTTTTATGCACATCTTCGCCAGCACTTGTCTTTAAGTTCAGAAAACAAAACTGAATCCAACCAAAAAAATGCCTGAGAGTCAAGTCTTGAGAAGCACGTTCTTGTCCTTAAGTGTCTGACCAGACCAAGTAAGTTGTTGAAGATACAAAGGAGAGACGAAATGCAGATTGTGGTCCTTATTTCTATAAGTCAGAAATTTTCTTTGTTGAAGTAGAATTGAACCTTCCTAGGATCCAGACTGGAGTATTGGTGACAATATTTGCTCAGGGACTTTGCCAAAGCCTGAGGACCACATAAAAAGACTCCAACCACAGACCTGCAAGAAAAGAATAGTTGGCTAGTAAAGGCTGCGATGTTGTTAGAATGGAGAAATGAGGTCTCTACTACTGACAACTCTGCAACTCTGCATAGAAATTCAGTTGTTGACACCCTTCTCACATTCTTCATAGTAGTTTTCTTACTTTTTCTTCTTACAAGCTCCAAATGAGCTTTCAGCCCTTATCACATCAGTGGTTCTCAACATTGGCTGCACATTAGAATCACCTGGGAATCTTTTTAAAATCCTTATTTCTGAGCCTCATCCTCCGGAAATTCTGTTTCTTTGTTACTAATGTTGTGGCCTCACCCCGTAACAAAGAAACAGAATTTCCGGAGGATGAGGCCCAGAAATCAGGATTTTAAAAAGATTCCCAGGTGATTCTAATGTGCAGCCAACGTTGAGAACCACTGCACTAGGTACTCAGCCTTGCCTATTCTATTCAGAACATGTTCAGCTGTAGTGCCCTGTAGTGGTTAAGTGCTAGCTAGACTAGTGAGCCAGGCTGCCTGGGTTAAAATCCCAGCTCTGACACTTGTCCAGCTGTGTGATTTTAGGAAAGTTTCTTAACCTCTCTGTGTTTCAGTATTTGCCCCCACTCTGTAAAATGGTGATAAAAACTACCCACCTTACAGGATTGTTTTAAGGTTTAAATAAAAATTATAGCTGCCATGAAAGCCATTTGTGTAATTGAATTGATCTTCACCTGCCAATTGTTCCTGGAATTTATCTAATACAATCAGCTTAATCTCCTTCTCATCAGAATGTCTGACCTCAGGGCACTAGGTTTTCCTGTGTTTCAAACCCCTCCAGAAAGACTGAGGTCAGGTCATCAGCTAACTAGATAAATACAGCCCAAATCCTTGCTGCTTTGAGGTCACTAAGCCAAAAGCAATGCATTTAAATTGTTCCAGTTCTATTTCATTTGGTAATACAAATCAGAACTGAGTCTCCTTGCCTCACTATTTGAATGGGGGGTTGTGGTGCAGCAAACGTATTCTCATCAATTACGAGATCATGACCCTTATTTGGCTGAAACCCCAGATGGGATTTCCTCAGTTTTAAGCAATAATCTAGGAGTGGTGCAAGTAGTTTCTGCCCCAGAGGTCTTTTCCCAAGAGTGTTCAACATACCATAATGCCTTTCCTAAACCCTAAGTCTG